TGTGACGAGAATCACCATGGCAAACGGGTCATCCAGGAGAACAAGAATCTACAGTGAGAAATCCATTGGGAAGAAGAAAAAGAACAATGTTCAAGAACGATTCAACCAGAAAAATGTAGCTTCTTCAAGAGTAGAAAAAATATATATGTATTTCTTGTTATTGGTGCAGTGAGATCCTAAACGTCAGACTCTGAGCCATAATAACTATTGATATAAGGCAATCTAACTTCCCATTAGTGTCTACATATTTTTTTAAAGAATATTTTAACTTTATTTATTTATTTAATTAATTTTAATTTGACCGGAGAGAGAGGGAAAGCAAGAAAGCAAGCCGCCAGGTTCAGAACTCAAACCAAGGTCTGTCATGCGGGCGTCCAGTGTCCTTAACCACACCACCTGCGGACCCCAGTGTCTACATATTCTACTTTCTAGGTAAGAATATAGTAGTTCAGTGACCTATTAATTAAAAAGCCCCTAAAATAAGGTCCACTTCATAAACTGTATAAAAGAACGTGCCTCACATAGCTCAGGGTAGCCACGACTCTGCTAAATAGTACTGATAGGCAGGGCTAGTGTTCAAGGTCTCATCCTGGCTTAGGTGAAGCCAGGTCCGCCATTTTCAGGCTGCTCCTGATTGACCTGAATGGAAAGACACACAATGGAACACAAGCTGGCCATCACTGCTGACCTCACGTGCACTTGCACTTCCTACTTCTAATACAGATATTACTTGGTTGTGATAGGTCAGAAAGAGGGGAATGGGAGCACAGAGTTCCTTATCTTGGCAAAGACGCAGGCTGGGAAGAACTACAACATTGTCAACGATGACAACAGCAGCAGCAGCAACTGAGAGAAAAGGGTATTTTCTATAAACTCACATTGTCTGTCTCAACTCAGACAAACCACATCAAAGTCATTCTTACTTTGCCAGATTCCCTCCCACCAGGTACACCACAGCAAATGAAAGAAAATGGCTTTTGGTATAATGATGAGGCCCTGTTTATACATGAGTCAACAGCTGTGTATAATACCCTTTTTGGCCACATGGGAGCCCAGTGCCCTTAACCACCATGCCACCTGCTGGCCCCCCAAAACATAAGTTTTTAAAAAGTCTTTTCTGTCTAGGGAGATCAAAAAGCTTTCAAGAATTGAAGTTCAAGTTCAGAACTGTTTATAAAGTCTGAGAGAGCCAGAACTCAGAGATAGAAGATGGGGTATAATTCAGCCCCTGAATAAGACACTGCTGAAATGTGCTCTATTAAGAGGTGGTTACAGGGATGGCAGGTGGTGTGGTAGTTAAGGCACTGGTCTTCCACGTTGCTGACTCGGGTTCGAGTCCAGACCTATTGGTTTATTTCTCCCTTTCCCTTTCTCTCTCTCCAGCCAAATTAAAAAACCAATCATAAAAAATAAAATAAATAAATAATTCTTAAAAAAATAATCTAGTTGTTAGGAAAGAAGATATAACATAATTCTGACTTATGCATACATGAATCCATTCCTCATATTAAAAGTTATTTCAAGAATTAAGTTTTATAAATTTAAGTAAAACTAAGAACTCTCCCATAAAACACTGATTGCCTCCAAAACAACCAGTTATTTTCTTTTTTTAAAGAATTATTTATTTAATTTTATTTGTTGTTATTATTATTTTTTCCCCATTGGCAATAAACACTTTTATTTTTGAAACACACAATGTTCATTCATCAATTTCACCTTTATGCCTCCGTATGTGCATATTACAAAGTTATCTTGCTAGGAAAAATTCAGTTTTGTGATGAGAAACAAAAGGACTCGAGGAAAGAAACATTGACAATTTGCATTTGGCTAGAAATTGTAAGTGGATTTGATTATTTTCGACGCATTACATGAATCCCTTTCACACTGCTGTCTTTAAGCATTTTAAATACTCCTTATGAGCACTGTATATTTTTACTTCCTTCCTCCCTTTCTTTTTTCCCCTTCCCCTACCTTAAATTTACCTTTATTTCCTTCCCTTATTATTGTTTTTTAAATTTGACCAAAGAAAGAAAGGGAAAGGGAAAGGGAGAAAAGCAAGCCACCAGGTCCAGGACTTGAACCGCAGTCGGCCATGTGGGAATCCAGTGCGTTTAACCACCACGCCAGCACCATTGTTATTTTCAAGGTTTTCAGTGGGGGTTGTTTTCTTCCAAATATTAAAAAATAACATGCATGGAGTCAGCAGGTGGCGTTGTGGTTGAGGACGCTGGATTCCTACATGGTTGACCAGGGCTTGAGTCCCGGACCTGGTGGCTGGCTTTCTTCCTTTCCGTTTCTCTCTTTCTCTCTCTCTGGTCAAAATAAAACAATAATAACAATATTCCCATTAGTGTCTACATATTTTTTTAAGAATTATTTTATTTAACTTTATTTATTTATTTAATTTAATTTGACCATATGTGCATGTGTGTGTCCAGACCTATTGGTGTGGCACACACACATGCATAAATGCACATATATATATGTGTGTGTGTGTGTGTGTGTGTAGAACACACACATAAATATATATATATATGTAGAATACACATATACACACTCATAGAAATATTTCATTTATGGATATGTGTGTTTTTAAACATGGTATTAATAAACAATATCTCTTCAAGATCTATCCATGTAGATACTAGAACCAAACAGTACCTTGGAATACTAATGTTTATAGCTATACCCATCGCATCATTGTACTAATTTCTGCTACTTGGAGACCTCCCAGCTGACTTGAGAAAAATGGATTCTCTGAGTAATTAAAAGAGAAGAGACTGTTATAAGTGTGTGTGTGTGCATATTTTACTAATTGAGACGCAAATGCAAAGGACCAAAGGAGAGTAAGACAAGCACAGAATTTATGGACAGAGAGAGAGAGAGGGAAAAGGAGATGCCAGTTACAGCCTCCCCCAGCCCTTCCACAAGGTGACTGTTAAATAAGAAAAATGGTCGTTCCATGAAGGATCCGACACAGAAATATAATTGTCCGCTGAGGCTAGACTGATAATATAAACACCTGAAGAACGACCAATGGCAACGGACACTTAGGCCTTTAATGTTAGGGATACATTAGGGAGGGGTGTGGACTATGGCAAACTACAGGGTGCGTGCCTAGACCGGAGGCCAGCTGCTACCCAGTTGCAGCCAATTAATGCTATGGTAAAAAGCAAGCTAGTTGTCAGCTCTTCTCATTTTTAAAGAGAAGCAGAACAAAAAGCTTGATATTTCTATGTTAAAAACTCTTGATTTTTAAATGTTGACCATTTAAAATCCAAAGTTTCCAAAACAAAACAAAGCCTTGGGCCGGCTGACACTTGGCTGGTCACACTGCAGGCTGGATTTGGATCTCAGGAACTTGGATCAGTTAGGACTTCTCATCTACCTCTGTACATATTTCTGCTGACACAACCAATGTCTCAATGAACTATTCTTTGACAAATTAATATGTGGAACACAGAAAGTTCTTTTGCAGTTACTGTTGTGTTGTTCCCCCCCACACACACACACACATAAAGATTTCACCAGCAACAAGGGCTACTTTCTTTCTTCTGTTTACCTTTTGGACTGAGTTTCTGAAAAGGGGTAGTGCAAAACTACCCACCAAACTATCTTTTTTCTTTTCATTTCTTAAGTCTATTTAAGTTTATCCTAAGGGTTTCAATTGTGGCACTTTGGAAATATTGGGCTGTCGGGAAAGTCATGATACATTTTTTGCACAGAAAATCAGAAAACTAGGTCATGATTTCCCTGACAGCCTAATATATTGGCCACTACACTTCCGGCCTTTGAGTGAGGGAAGAAGCCCTAGGTTTACCCAGAGAGCAGACACACACAGTTCCAACGAAGAATTCTTTTGGAGGCACCTTAGGGTGGGTGGCTATCATGAAGTATTTTCTGGGGAATGAAACTCTCATCTTGAATAAGCTCACTGCAAGACTGCAGGTTCTAAGGGCTGAAGGTGGGAGTCATGACCTCTGGTACAGAAAGGTAAGGACTGGCCCCCTATCCTCTCTTCTTGGTTTGGCAAGTAGAAGACACCCGATGCGACAATACTGGTTTAGGAGATGGTGTGTCTAACTAGTGGCCATTTTCACTAAATTCTATCCAGACATTTCAAACCAAACATGGTGAGTGCAGGTTATAAATAAAAAAGTCGATCTTTCTCCTATGAAAGTGAAGTTTGTTTCTTAATTGTCAGGATGTAGGAGCAGAAACTTGAGAGAGACAAACAATTTGATGAATAGGCTGCCAAATTGAAACTGTTGATATATTTTCTGTATAAAAAAAATCACTGATGATCTCCT